CCTGTGAAATGACTCAGTTTCATTCTCTGCAGTTTCACTGCTTTAACCCCCATTAAGGTGCGACTGTCCTCTTAATCTTTTGTCTGTTCTGTCCTAACTGGTCTCCTTGATTCTAGTCTTTCTATTTCCATCAGTCTTTAACACAAGCATCAGATTGATTTCTCAAAAATAAATCTAATCATGCTACTTTTTGCTTGAGAACTTTCATTGTATCCTTATTTCCTTACATAAGGAACTTCAAAGTCAATTCCAGGCCTTTTCTGTCTTCTTCCCACAGCTCTTCTCTGTGAATATTTTGCTCTTGCCATTTCAGACCAGTTTCTCAACACATCATCCATTTCAATGCCTCCTTACCTTGAATCTCCAATCTTTAATTTTTCAACCCAAGAAAATCAAAGTCATCCCTGTGTCACGCTTCTGGGAAACTTTCACAAATTTCTCCCCAGAGATTTCTCTTAAATGTGTTTGAGTAGCTCTGCACTTACCACATATTTGTTTTCTCTATTATACCCTAAAATGTATGGTTTTGGGGTATTCTTAATATAGCAAGAGCATTGTCTGATGTTTATTTGCTATTTAGTAAATGTTTTCTGATACTTAAAAACTGAGTTTTAAAGCTGAGTACAGTTGTGGATGCCTGTAATGCCAGTGACTTGGGAGGCTGAGGAAGGAGAATTGCAAGTTTGAGGCCAGTGTTGGCAACTTAGCAAGACCCTGTCTCAAAGTTAGAAATAAAAAGAGTTATGGATATACCTCAATAGTAAAATGCACCTGGTTTCAGCCCCCACCACTAAATAAATTATTTGTCTTTTATTGTTACATGGGTAGAATTTTATATATCATGTTTTCTTTTTAAAATACCCTATGTATTTTGGTATTTTGGTAAATATAATATTGAAGAGAATATTTTGTTTACCCTAAATTTGAATAAAATATACTGTTATTCTTGATAGAATTACGTACATCCCTGGAAGAACATCAGTCTGCATTGGAACTTATAATGAGCAAGTATCGAGAACAAATGTTTAGATTGCTCATGGCTAGCAAAAAAGATGATCCAGGTATAATAATGAAGTTAAAGGA